GAGTCGATCTACTTGTCACGGACTTAATGCCTATATACATGATCATTGCCATGAATAATGTCATAACTTTGTGCTTTTCTATGAATTGCCCAACAATAATTTGTCTACCCATAGTATGCTTTTATTATGAGAGAAATGCCTCTGGTGAAAACTATGGCCCCGAGGTCTATTTCAATCATATTACAAAAACCAAAAATACCTTGCTACAATTTTACTTCTTTTATTTTATTTGCAATTTTATCTACCTACAACTATTAGATTTAATCCTTGCAATTAACAAGTACAAGGGGATTGACAACCATATTGCCCGTGTTGGGTGCAAGTATTTGCTCTTGTACGTGCATGTATTGTTCACTTGTGTGGTTATCCTATTGGTTCAATAACATTGGTTCACTAAGGGAAATACTATCCTCTACTATATTGCTTCACCCTTCCTCTTCGGGGGAAATCCCAACACAACTCACAAGTAGCAGCGACTCCCACGGTTTTCCTTCGAGATCATTGGAGCAAGGACACATATGTCAATTGGGTCAAGCGCAAGTTTCTTAAGGAGGTCATGCCTTACAACAAGAGAATGTCTTCCGTGATCCGCCAAAGACCATACTTTCATTCCTTGTCCTCCAATTATGTGTTGGATGATTTCATCGCCATGGACATCTTGAACAAGACCGCCAACAATGCTATTGCTCGTGTATGATTGAAGAAACCCGACCTTGCTTTGAAGGCCAATGTTATCCAAGAAGAGGAAGAATAAGAGGATGATAGTTGCCCCGAGGACACCAAATATGCTTACTAGATCACATGACTCTTGAGTTAAGGCAATTTTGGGGCAACAAGAGGAACTTCAAGTCCAACAACTCAAGTGGCTACAGGCCAAAAGGTCAATGAGTAAGGACTTGTCACAATTATGGGAATGTGACTCCCTTCATTGTGGAGTGTCCTTATGAGAAGAGAGAAAACAATGGAGGCAAGTTTATCCAAAGGAAAAGATCTACACTTCCACCAAAGAAAATTTGATTCCCCCATACACTTCTTATTGATCTTGTTACTCTTGGGTGTTTGGGCATCCTAGAAGGAAGAGATCACCTTGGAGCCACATTCCATTATGGTGAAGCTCTGTGGTGGTGTTGAGAGCCTCCAATTAAGTTGTGAGAGAGCCCCAACCTTGTTTGTAAAGGTTCGGGTTACCACCTTCAAGGGCACCGCTAGTGAATTCGTGGCACCTTGCATCGTGCGAGGGGTGAGGAGAATAGGTGAGTCCTTGGGATGCTTGGGGATCATTGTGCCTCCACACCCCTCCAACGGAGACGTACCTCCCCCAATGAGGGAACTTTGGGAACACATCCTCGTCTTCATCGTCTCCACTTGCGGTTATCTCGTACATTTACTTGTTGGTAGCTTCCACCTTGTGTTTTACTCTTGCGAGCTTGTGCTGCTCATTATTCTTATCACATAGGTTGTCCACCTAGTTGCATATCTAGACAACCTACCTTTTGCTGAGCCTAAAATTGAGAACCAAGTTAAAAATTATTAGTCGCCTATTCAACCCCCTTCTAGTCGATCATTCTGATCCTTTCACAAACCAAATAAACTAGCCTACCCAAACTTATCCACTTTCAAAATATCTAGCCTAGTATAAGATTGAGCCATTGGTTCGCTATCCCCTTGCACACGGGGGAGTGGGAAACCAACTGGACAGCTCTACCGCGCACACAAGGTCTACTCCTGCGCACATGGGGTCTCTAGACTCCAAACGGTTTTTTGGAGAGACTGTAAATTCCTCCCTTCTTCTACCTCCAAACCTAACCCTAACACCTTGTGAGCCTTGACACATCTCCAACGTATCTACATTTTTTATTGTTCCATGCTATTATAGTATCAATCTTGGATGTTTATATGAAACTACAAGCAATTATATATCATTTTTTCCTGCAAAAAATTATATATCATTATTTGGGACTAACCTATTAACTTAGTGCCCAGTGCCAGTTGATGTTTTTGCGTGTTTTTGGTTTTTCAGAATATCAGTACCAAACGAAGTCCAAATGCCATGAAACTTTTTGAAGATTTTTTCCGAACAAAAGAGACCCTGAAAGCTTCGGGAGAGGGCCAGAAGATAAAGGAGGATCCCACAAGGCACCAGGGTGCGCCCAGGGGGTAGGCGCGTCCCTGGTGGCTCGTGAGGTCCATGTTCACCCATTTGACCTAATTCCGCCTCTATAAGTTCTCTGAAATCGAGAAACCAACAGAGAGCCACCCAAAATACTTTTTCCGCCGCCGCAAGCTTCTCTTCTCGAGAGATCCCATCTGGAGGCCTTTTCGGCACTCTGCCGGAGGGGGAATCAACCACGGAGGGGCTCTACATCAACCTGTTGCTCTTCTGATGATGTGTGAGCAGTCTACTATAGATCTACTGGTCCATAGTTAGTACCTAGATGGCCTCTCCGCTCTCTTTGATCTTCAATACAGTGTTCTCCTCGATGTTCTTGGAGATTTATTCGATGTAATCACTTTTTATGGTGTGTTTGTTGGGATCTGATGAATTGTGAGTTTATGATCAGATTATCCATGAATATTATTTGAGTCTTCTCTGAACTCGTTTATGCATGAATATTATTTGGTTTGGCCAACTAGATTGATTTTTCTTGCCATGGGAGATGTGCTTTGTGATGGGTTCGATCTTGTGGTGCTCAATCCCAGTGACAGAAAGGGACATGACACGTATTTGTATCGTTGCCATTAAGGATAAAAAGATGGGGTTTATTCATGCATGAGTTTACTTTGTCTACATCACATCATCTTGCTTAAGGCATTACTCCGTTCTTTATGAACTTAATACTCTAGATGTATGCTGGATAGCGGTCGATGTGTGGAGTAATAGTAGTACATGCAGGCAGGAGTCGGTCTACTTGTCTCGGATGTGATGCCTATATACATGATCATTGCCTTGGATATCATCATGATTATTCGCTTTTCTATCAATTGCCTAACAATAATTTGTTTACCCACCGTATGCTATTTTCAAGAGAGAAGCCTCTAGTGAAAACTATGGCCCTGGGTCTACTTTTTATCATATATTAAAATCCAAAATACCTTGCTACAATTTTTCTTTACTTTATTTATTTTGTATTTTATTTATATATCTATCACTACGAGATTTTAATCCTTGCAATTAACCGACGAGGGATTGACAACCCCTTGTTCGCGTTGGGTGCAAGTAGTTGTTGTTTTGTGTGTAGGTACTGCTAACAAGGTGTTGTGTGGTTCTCCTACTAGATTGACAACATTGGTTCTTAACTGAGGGAAATACTTATTTCTAATGTACTTCATCATCCTCTCCTATTCGGGGAAATCACAACGCAACTCACAAGTAGCAAGCCTCCCCCATTGGTACACCTGGATTTGCTCAATACTCTCCATTCCCCCACTCAAACTTGTTGATTCTTTGGAAAAAGAGAGCAAAACCCGATCTGCACTTCCACCAAATCGATTTGTGTTCTCCGCTCAATTTTTCTCCATCAGCATTGTTACTCTTGAAGGTTGGGCTCCTAGGCGGTAGAGGTCATCCCCAGAAACTTCTCTACTTATGGTGTGCTTCCGAAATTTTGTAAAGGTATGGTACTCACCTTTAAGACCATCCTGAGTGATTTGATGCTCATACATTGGGGAGGGGAGGGGGTGACTCAAACTGGGAATATGATGAGCCGGTGACGCTCTCGAGCTTTGCCTTCGACATTCTTCAACGCAAATTAGAACTCCCCAAGGAGCTTGAACTCCGGGATAAAATCTGCGTCCTTGACTCACTCGTGGTTAATCCTTGGCCTCACTTTACTTCTCTTGTATGCTTATTGGTTTGCTAATAAGATTGTTGCCTAGCATACTCTGATTTGAGCTTGCTTGCCATATAAATTGTGTTCACCCATTTGCATATCTAGATAATCTACTTTATTCACATTGCCCTAAAATTAGAAGTTAAGTTTAAAATTAATAGTATTTTATTCACCCTCATGTATTTGATCGTATTGATCCTTTCAGCTTCCACGTATCACATTGCATATAGCACAAGGCCTGACCCTATCATATTGTGATGGTGACAAACTAAAAATGCATGAACATGATTCTTCACCAAACTCCGTGCAAAGTTTTTTAATTTTGAGGGGACCTTAACTTTCACAACCGCCTCCACTGTTTTATGCTTGTCTCGGTGTTTGAATACTCAGCTCTATGCTGCAACCAATCTTCCCTAAGGATTTTTATTTTTGAGAAAGTAAGTTTTTGTTTGTTTGTTAGGGGAGCCATTTTACCATTCTGCCGTTCATACATTCAGCCCGGATGAGAAAAAAAAAACAACCTACAACTGACCTAACAGGCCTTCTAGTCATATGGGCCGAACACCATTCGTTCGAAACAATTCCGAGCACCGGTCCAGCCCTAAAATAAAGGGGAGCGTCCAGCCCCATTAAAGAAACTGAAAAAAATTCTTCTCA